TTATTTCTGTGATAAGCTCTCATTGAGAAAGTTCTGCATTTTTTTTCTTTTGCCTTATTCATTGATATTTTAGATATGCATTATAACACCTGTGTATTAGGACTTTGGGCTTCAAGTAAAGACACCTGTTTCAAGCTAATGGTAATACATATTACTCATTTGAATAGAAGTCAGTGGATAGGTTGGGCATAGTTCTTTTGGGAATCAGCCTCTGTTTGTCTGTAAGCCTCTTAACTGTGCCTTCTTTTGTATGTTACCTTTTATCTATGGCATCCTCCTTCATGGTTGATTGTAGGATGGCTGCCGGAGTAATGGCGTTTTTGCTTTCGTGTACATGTCCACCTGAAGAAGCAGTTATTCTCTTGAAACGATCTCAAAATACTGTGTTTTTTAATTCATAAGTAAAATTCAAATAGCTGTTAGCAGCGGGGATTAGTGGTGCCTGGATTTGGCTGCATGCAAGCATAAGCCTCCAGCAACCTCTTCTGGTTCTCTTAGTCCAGAATTGGGTCACATGCCCATTCCTGAACCAACCATTTACCTGGGATTACCCCTCCATCAGTTAGGCCCACCCCTGAGCTGAGAGGTCAGCAAACAGCATTGCTGTGGTTCAGTAGGCCAGGAGTAAAATGGATGTGGGACAGGCAATCACCATGTTCACTCTAGCCCATAGGTTATGATGACTCGAGGAGTGAGCCATCTGTTTGGTGTTTCCTGTTAGCTCTGAACCTAAAAAGATGGCAGGCGTGAAGTTGCCGTTGTCTTTAGGAAAGTTAAGCAGATTGACATTTTTGCATTTTTGTCATTTGCAAGTAAAATTTAGGGGAGTTACCACCAAATGTATGGTGATTTCTGGATTGGGTTGCATGTGTCAGTCAGTTGGGTGAGGAAGAGAGGAAAAGGTTAGGAAGAAGAGCTATGCTGTTATCACACGGTGCATGATTTGGTCCTTAATGGTGTGTCACAGACTTACAACAACTAAAAAGGAGAGGGTGGCTGGAACATTTCCTGAAAGGTAATCAGTAAGGTAATAAAGGGAATTTTTCAAAGTCAGTTTTGTTTTCCCCATGCCATTTTTAAAATAAACAAATACTGCCATGTACCCTTCAAAATGAAGGCTCCTAGATGGGATTCTTTAAAATGAAAATCTGTGTGTGTTAGTATAAAATGAGAGGGGAAAAATGCAGAATCTAAGATTCTTGTATCTTGAGATTATTTTTACCTTATGTAGGATTTTGCAGTGGTTTGCCATAGGTGGGGAGCCTGAGGCCTTGTTTAAGTGTTTGGCTAGAAACAAGGAAACGCTATAGCTCTTGAAGAGAGAAATTTTTGGTTTTGCTTTGTTGTTGTTTATTCCCCTGCAGTTTAACTAATTGCATAATGTAAGGTGTAGTTTTCTACATCTTAGGTAGGTTAGTTATATGCCTCAGGTTAGGTATATAACTTTTTTCCTGCCCATTTGTTCCTGTATCCTGTTTGCTAATAAAGTAGTTCATGGAATGCATGGAAATTTCCAAGAATGGAGAATGGTATTAAGTACACAATTGGATTCCCTCCCCATTCTTTACTCTGAGTGAATATAATTGCTTATTTTTAATTATTTGGGTAGTTAGCACTAATGATACATTACATACTTATATCTTGATTTGTGAACCTTACGAGTTATCTCCTGACTTGCTCATATGAGGCAGTGTAGCATGGTGGTTAAGAACACAGGTGTCAATTCAGACAGCTTGGCTTCTAATCCTCTGCTGCTTCTGACCTACATGGCCTTGAGGAAATTATTAAGCTATTCTTTGCCTCAGTTTCCTCTTCTATCAAATGGACATAATAACAGGACTTACCACATGTGATAATTTGAACAGTGAATTTAAAGATTCATGTAAACTGTTTACAAGAGTATCCAGCACATAAGTGCTCACAATAAATGCCGGGTGTTTCTGCTACTGCTGTTTTTTTCTTTTTCTTTTTCTTTTTTTTAAGCACAGGGTCTCACTCTGTTGCCCAGGCTAGAGTGCAGTGGCACAGTCATTGTTCACTGTAACCTCTAACTCCTGGGCTCAAGCAATCCTCATATATGTATACACACATATATGTACACACATACATGTACACACACATATACACACACACATATATATGCACATATATATATGCACTACTCATTCTTTCTTATTTACTTACTTATTATTATTTTTTTGAGATGGAGTCTCACTCTATCGCCCAACCTGGAGTGCAGTGGTGCAATGTTGGTTCACTGCAACCTCCGCCTCCCAGGTTCAAACATATATATATATGCACATATATATGTGTGTGTGTGTGTGTGTGTATATATATATATATTTTTTTCTTTTAAAGTTTTTGAGACAGGGTCTTGTTCTGTTGTCCAGGCTGGAGCACAGTGGCACGATCTCAGCGCACCGCAACCTCTGCCTCCTGCATTCAAGCAATTCTTATGCTTCAGCCTCCTGAATAGCTAAAATTACAGGTGTGCACCACCACACCTAGCTTAATTTTTGTATTTTTAGTAGAGATGGGGTTTCACCCTGTTGCCCAGGCTAGTCTCGAACTCTTGAGCTTAAGCGATCCCGGTCTGCCCACCTCTGCCCCAAAGTGCTGGGATTACAGGTGTGAGCCACTGTGCCCAGCCTAGTTTTAATTTATATTTATTTATGTATTTGTTAGAGACAAGGTCTTGCTCTGTTGCTCAGGTTGGAGTTCTGTGGTGTGATTATAGCTCACTACTACCTGGAGCTCCTGGGTTCAGTGATCCTCCCAGCTTAGCCTTTCATGTAGCTTAGGACTACAGGCATGTGCCACCACGCTTGGCTAACTTTTAAAAAAAATTTATTGTAGAGATCGGGTCTTGCTATGTTGCCCGGGCTGGTCTTAAACTCCTGGCCTTAAGCAGTTCTTCTGCCTTAGCCTCCCAAAGTGTTGGAATTACAGGCATGAGCCACTGCACCCGACCTACTACTGTTAATGAAACATAAGGCCTCTGCTTACTTCATTCTCCTTCCACAATTTGTAAAATTAATTTTATTTCTATATATAACATTAAATAATGTATTTAGACCTTTTATTTCCCCAACAGCCTAATATATCTTAACTTCCTACTCTAAGTGATGAAGAAAGCACTACTCATTCTTTCTTATTTACTTATTTATTATTTTTTTGAGATGGAGTCTCACTCTATCGCCCAACCTGGAGTGCAGTGGTGCAATGTTGGTTCACTGCAACCTCCGCCTCCCAGGTTCAAACAGTTCTCTGCCTCAGCCTTCTGAGTAGCTGGGATTACAGGCACCTGCCATCATGCTCGGCTAATTTTTCTGTTTTTAGTAGAGACGTGGGGTTTCAGCATGTTGGCCAGGCTGGTCTTGAACTCCTGATCTCGTGATCCACCTGCCTTAGCCTCCCAAAGTGCTGGCATTACAGATGTGAGCCACCGCACCCGGCCTACTTCATTCTTTTATATTTGATTTCCACTAGTGATAATATTACTTTTGCATCATTAGGTGGATTCTTTATGGACTGTGTCCTTCAAGGAATTGGTCCATTTCATCTGGGTTATCCAATTTATGGTCATAAAATTGTTCATAATAGTCCTTTATTCCTTTAATGTCCATGGGATCTGTAGTGATGGCCTCCTTTTCATTTCTGATATTAATAATTTGTGTCCTCCCTCTTTTTTTCTTAGCCTAGCTAGAGGCTTATCAATTTTATCGATCTTTTAAAAAACCAGCTTTGGGTTTCATTGATTTTTCTTTATTAATTTCCTGTTTTCAACTTCATTGATTTCTGCTATCGTATTTATTATTTTTCTTCTGCTTATTTTGGATATTGTTTGCTCCTCTTTTTCTAGTTTGCTAAGATGTAAGGTTAAATTATTCATTTTAGGTCATTTTTCTTTCCTAAAATATGTATAGTAGTATGAATTTCCCTCTAAGCACTTCTCTTGCTTCATCCTATAGTGTTTAATAAATTAAATTATATTTTTACCTTCACCTAGTTAAAATATTTAAAAATTTCTCATGAGATTTTGTATGTTACCCATTTGTATACCATTTTGGGATTTTTCCAGCTATCTTTCTATATTGATTTCTAGTTTAATTTCATTATGGCTTAAGAGAAGACATTGTATGATTTTTATTTAAAAAAAATTTTTAAGGTGCATTTTATGGCCCAGAATGTGGTCCGTTTTGGTGAATGTTCCATGTGAGCTTGATATGAAGTAGTTTACAGATGTCAACTATATCCAGTTTATTGATGGTGCTGTTGAGTTCAACTATGTCCTTACCGATTTTCTGCCTACTGGATCTGTGTATTTCTGATAGAGGAGTGTTGAAGTCTTAGACTATAATGTAGATTCATCTATTTCTCCGTTAGTTTTTGCTTCACATGTTTTGATACTCATTGGTTAGGTACTTACATATTAAGGGTTGTTATTTATTTATTTATTTTTGAAAATTGACTCCTTTATTATTGTGTAATGACCCCCTTTATCTTTGATAAGTTTCCTTGCTTTGAAATCTGCTCTGAAATTAATATAGCTGCTACTGGTTTCTGTGGGTTAGTGTTAGCATGGTATATCTTTCTCCATTCCTTTCCTTTCCTTTTTTCTTGGTGTTTCACCATCTTAGGTTGGACTGCGTGGCTAAAGTGGGCTGGAGTTGGGTGTTTCCCTTGTCTCAGGTTGGTTAGGCTCTGATAAAACTCTAATAGGCTAGGTACTGATAAAGTAGTTTCTCTTGAGGGGCAGCTTTGTTCAGAACAACACAGTGCTCTGCATACTTCAAAATGAGTCCTTTTCCCTTTCCCTTCCTGGAAGCCCAAGGGGATTTTTTCTTTGATATTCACTGTGAGAATCCTGGAGCTCAAACTCACTGTGTGAGCTCCTGGAGCTAAAACTCACAGAAGTGTGGGGAGCCCTCTGAATTTATGCCGAAAATACAGAGACCTATTATAGTGGTAATTTCTGTTGTTTGTGTCTTCTTCTTTAGTACTTGGACCATGAGACTGTTTCAGCCACATTCATCGACAGCAGTGGACAGTTTCTTTCCTCCCAGGTGACAGGAATTAGCCGAAATCCTTACTGCGGCTATGATCAGCAGACCCTGTCCAGCCAGGAGCGCGTGGAGGAGGACTCCTTGCTGGCTGCCTTGCACCGACAGGTTCCCGATGTGGGCCCAGTTCCCTTTGTGAAAAGCACTGACCCTTCTTCTAGCTACTTTGTCATCTTGAACTCTGCTGCCTTCTTTCAGGTGGGAAGCCAGCTGGAGGTGCTGGTTCATGTACAGGATTTTGAAAGGAAGCCCAAGAAGTATGGTGGAGACTACCTGCAGGCCAGAATTCACTCCCCCAAGCTGCAGGCTGGGGCTGTGGGCAGGGTGGTGGACTACCAGAATGGGTTTTACAAGGTTTTCTTTACTTTGTTATGGCCGGGCAAAGTTAAAGTGTCCATATTTCTGGTCCACCCCAGTGAAGGGATCAGAGTTCTTCAGCGCTTACAGGAAGATAAACCAGACAGGGTCTATTTCAAGAGTCTCTTCCGTTCGGGAAGAATTTCTGAAACTACTGAGTGCAACGTGTGTCTTCCTGGGAATCTGCCGCTGTGCAACTTTACAGACCTCTACACTGGGGAGCCCTGGTTCTGCTTCAAACCAAAGAAGCTCCCTTGCAGCAGCAGAATTACCCATTTCAAAGGTGGATACCTGAAGGGTCTCCTAACTGCTGCGGAGAGTGCTTTCTTCCAGAGGTACGTGCTGCTTTTTCTTGGGGATAATTTGAAGAGTTCTTTTCCACTGTCCTTGTCCCATTTAGGAGACTTTCTGGTATTGAGTATGTGTTTCTTATCTCTCTCTTATCGTGGCCCAATTCAGAGGAGGTAGTGAATAAAAAAGTAAACATAGATTTGTATTTTTCGTTAGTGTTTTACAAGTGAAGCTTAGTGCTTATCTAAGTCCAAATTAAAGACCTTTTACCCTTGAATTTTTTTCTTTACCCTCATATCTGTTTTACTTTAGAACCACATGGCGTGTTTGCACAGTAGCTGTGTAAGTAAAATCACTTATTCACAGAACAGATAAAAGTTATCCAAGCGCCAGATGTGGTGGTGACTCATGCTTGTAATCCCAGCACTTTGGGAGGATGAAATGGGAGGATCGCTTGAGCCCAGGAGTTTGAGACCAGCCTGGGCAACATAGCAAGACCCCATCTATTTTATGTAAAGAAAAAATATAATCCAAGAACAGGCTGGTAGGCCTAGTAGTCAGGCTGGTGTTTTATCTTTGTATCTAATGAACTGAAACTTTAAAAAGTAACATAATAGCGGTTTTTAAAATCATTTGAACATACTGATTAAAAAACTATGAATATGGCAACATTGCTGGGTTTACTTAATAAGCATAGGAAGTCAGGAATGCCACAGAAGACTATTTTTTAAGCTATATAGTTGTTGAAATTATTGCAGTATTGTGTTCAAATTTCTATTTCAAATATAAGCATAAAATATTTTCAGCATGATGATAAATACATAGAATAATGTGCAGAAAGGAATATGGAACCAATATGAATTACAGTTTGTGTTTTCTTCAACATTTCATAACATTACTAAGAAATAAAAAATTATAAAAGCTACATGGTTAAAAAGTACCATTTTGGCCAAGTGTGGTGGCTCATGACTGTAGTCCCAGCACTTTGGGAGGCTGAGGTGGGAGGAAGGCTGGAACCCAGGAGTTTGAGGTTGCAGTGAGCTGTGATCACAGTTGCACTACAGCCTGGGCAACAGAGTGAGACCCTGCCTCAACAAAAAAGTACAATTGTTTGAAAGAATGTATGCATGCTTTTTACTTTTTAATGGAGTATATTGTTTTTAAACAGTCCTTGGTAGAGATAATTTTTTTCTTGGATAAAAGGGAGGTATTTTTGTTAAGTACATCTGGGCACCCTAAAAAATTTCATAGTTTATGTCCACTCATTACCGGATGGGAGAAAAGTTGCTACCATAAAGTATGTGGTTTGTAGGAGCTCCTAAAATAAAACCCTTCAGTTTTCCACCCTGAAGTCAGCTTTTGGTCATACTGGGTTACTTACATGTCTAGTGGATTCATGCCATACCTTTGAAAGGCCAGCAGAGGGAGCACTACTCAATGTACAGTGTTTACTGTACTGCTGAGAAGACTGGTATTTTCTATGGTTTAGTACAAAATGAAAACAAAATTAAATTTCACAACTCCTCCAAACAAAACCAAAACAAGTTTTTAAATTTTATTCCTGGGTTCAGGTTTCAGACATGCTGTTTATTAGTGACTGAGCAGATTATTTTATTTCTGTGTACTTTTTTGCCTATGTATGAAGACTACTCAGTTACCCTATTTTAGAGGGTTGGTTGGTTGGTTGGTTTTGCAACAGGGTCTCACTTTGCCATCCAGGCTGGAGTGCAGTGGCATGATTGCAGCTCACTGCAGCCTTGACATCCTGGGTTTGAGCGATTCTCCCACCTCAGCCTCCCGAGTGTGCGCCACCTCCCGTGTCAGACTATCGGTGTGCACCACCACACCCAGCTAATTTTTGTATGTTTTGTAGAAATGTGGTTTCACTATGTTGCCCAGGCTGGTCTTGAACCCCTGGGCTCAAGTAGTCCTCCTGCCTTGGCCTCCCAAAGGGCTGGAATTACAGATGTGAGCCACCATGCTCCATTAGAGTTGTGTTTTTAGATTTTTAAATTATTATGGATACATACTAGTTGTACATATTTTTGAGGTAGATATGATATTTTGATACAAGCATATAAAATGTAATGATCAAATAAGGGTAATTGGAGTATCCATTGCCTGAAGCATTTATCATCTTTATGTTGGGAACATTCCAATTCCACTGTCATAATTGTTTTGAAATCTATAGTAAATGATTGGTAACTATAATTGCCCTACAGAGTTATGTTGTCAGTCTACTTAGTGGTCTAGCAAAGAGGAAGAAGCATAGTAATTTTCTCAAATTCCATGTGGAAAATAGAGAAAGTTTAGAGAGCTAACTTAGTGTAAAACTTAAAAGTATTTCTGACTGTAAATTCTACCATTAAAAACAAAAAACACCCGTGAACCCACAAGGATAAAATAATGTGTTTGTCCCTGCCCTTACTTGCATGTCCTGGGTGAGGCTGGTTGATGGTACAGTATTGTAGAATAATTGCAGAATTCTATTTACCTGGTGGAAGTTTGCTGAGAAAACGATGTTTGAGGTGGTGTAAGTTTTTGGAAAGCAAACATTTGACAGAGTCCTCATAATTGGTTTTCATTTTCCATACTTCATTCTCTTTAAGTTCTGAAATATTGCATAAGACCATCTGAAAAGAAAAAGAAAAAGATTTAAATTGATTTTTTGGGGGATCTTTGAGTGTACTGTTTTGAGCTCATGGCCCAAATATGTTGAACTGATAACCTTTTTTATTTCTTTTCCTTGGTAACTCATAACCTTACTTAAGCCAGAAAGAATTAAGAATCTTAGCCTTGGTATTTTGTTCCCTAAATGACAGTTGAACAATTAGAGGAATGTCATCTTTGTTCTTTATCTATAAGGGAATAAAAGTGTTAGTTTTGGAAAGGACAACAGGGGTTTCCTTAAAGATCCTATTAATATAAGGGAAGGCCTTTTGAAAGAATGGGCTTATCACCTACAACATTTCCCTTTTATTTTAGCATGATTGCTGCTTTTTTCTTTCTAACTTTGTATTAAAAATATTGAATCTTTAGAAACATTGCAGGAATAATAACAATGAACTCATATACCTTTAACTTAGATTCACTATTATTAATGTTTTGCCACATTTTGCTTTTCTTTCTCTGTGTTTATATGTATCTGTGTATAATTTTTTCCCCTGAACCATCTGAGAGTATGGTGCAGACGTCATGACTCTGCACTCCATAAATATGCCTCTTATAAGAAAATGGACTTTCTCTAACGTGTAACCATAGTGATCACATTTGGGACATTTATCATTGTTATAGTATTATTATTTAATATGCAGTTCATGTTAGATATTCAAGTTTCTTCAGTTGTCCCAAAAATGACTTCTATAGCTATCTTTTTAATTTTAACTAATTTAATCTATGCTTGCTTACACAGTATGTTTGGTTATCTCTTTAATCCAAAAGAATTCTTTAGCCTATTTTGTTTTGTATGACATTGGCAATTTTGATGTTGCTGTTTTGTAGAATGTCCTTTACTTTTTTTTTTTTTCTCTCTTCTCGAGACAGAGTGTCGCTCTGTCACCCAGGCTGGGGTGCAATGCGGTGATCTCGGCTCACTGTAACCTTCGGCTCACTTTACTTCCTGGGATCAAGTGATTCTTGTGCCTCATCCTCCCGAGTGGCTGGGACTACTAGGCATGCACCACCATACCTGGCTATTTTTTGTATTTTTAGTAGAGATGGAGTTTTGCTGTGTTGGCCGGGCTGGTCTCAAACTCCTGGCCTTAAGGAGATCTGCCCGTCTCGGCCTCCCAAAGTGCTGGGATTATAGGCGTGAGCCACCACGCCCAGTCTGCTTTGGATTTGCTTTATTGTTTTCACTTTCCATGTGATTAGATTGAGGCTAAATATTTTGGCAGGAAAATTATAGAGGAAATTATGTTTTTGCAAGAAAATTATTGTACAATAATAATTATATAATTCTTATAACTATAGACAAGTAAATTGTATATTTTTTTCTTACCATAAAACTCTAAACTCATGAAAGTAGTTTATATGTGCTGTCTTAAAAATCACTTTATTTAAGCTATGAAATTCGATTATGCTCTAATGTGGCCAGGCCTGTATACTTCCTTCATTACTTGTTTTTTGTCTGTCTCCTCTGTGTCAGCTCCGTGAAGAAGGAGATGCTGTGTTTTGCTTACTGTAGTAGCCCTGGATTCTAGGACAGTACCTGGCTTCAGAAGCTTAAGAATTATTTGTTGAATAAACAGTTTTTTCTGAAATTGATGAAATAATAAAAAATGACCGCACATTCCCGTATCAAGAGTTTGGGGAGTTAACATTTCATTTTTTTGTTTTTGGTCTAAGTACGTGAGGCCTAGTTTTATTGTGACTCAGTTTCTGGAATAGTTGCCCTGAATTTTCAGTGCTTTTCTCCTTACCTCCACCCTCCCCCACGTTTTAATGCAGCCCTCCAAAAATAGAGTGTGGACTCTAGACCAGGGCCTGTGCTAGGATGCAAAGATGAATGAGGCATCACCCTTGTCTTCGAGTAGAATATGTTTTATTGTATTTTACTTTTTTCCCCTGCTGCCTCCCTCGAGTAGTACATGTTTTAGTAAGGGGAACAGACACTAAAAAGTCCTGGTAATGATGAGCAAAGTACTGCATAAATAAATATCTGGGGGGCAAGTGTCCCACGTAGGACTCCTCTGAGATCTGGAAAAGGCCTAAGGAATCAGATACATTAATGCAGCATGAACTTGCAGCCTGAAAACTAGATAACGACAAAGTAGACATTCTTGTCAGTGTGAGCCATTCTCTGAGTCCAAGGGGAGTACATCATTCAAACCAGAATTGGTCATTTTGGAGTTTGTGCTCTTAGCAGTATACAGTGGAGTGAAATTTTAAGAATCAATTTAATTTTTTTCAGTTTTTATATACATATAACCTGCTTATTACAAGAGACCCAGTTTATTATTTGTGTTGGTTAACATTCATAAGTATGTTTCATCATAATAAGGCTCTGTGAAATTAGTCATTTTATCATTTGCAAGTAAAGACATATATTTGAAAATAAATGTTCCTGAACCTGAGCTTGTGCTTTTTTATTCCTCTTAAAGTGGCGTCAATATCAAAATGCCTATCAACTCCAGTGGACCTGATTGGGTAACTGTGATTCCCAGGAAAAAAAAAAAAAAAAAAAAAAAAAAAAAAAAAAAAAAAAAGAATAAGCTTGATGATTTACTGTTTTTCTTACTAAGTGGGTTGAGGCTCTGTCGTTTCATTTATGCTGCAAAAACTTATATGCCATAGTTACTTCTGGGCATAATTGAAAATATTAGAAGTACTGTTTGATTTAAAAAATCAGATCTTATGTACGTAATTCTGAGTTTTGATATTTATTGTTATTTTATTTTATTTTTTTGAGACAGGATCTTGCTCTGTTACCTAGGCTGGAGTGCAGTGGCACAATCTTGACTCACTGCAGCCTTGACCTCCTGGGCTCAAGTGATCCTCCCACCTCAGCCTCCCAAGTAGCTGGGACTATAGGCATACACCACCACACCTGGCTGATTTTTGTATTTGTTTTGCAGAGACAAATTTTTGCCGTGTTGCCCAGGATGGTCTTGAATTCCTGAGCTCAAGCAATCCTCCCACCTTGGCCTCCCAAAGTGCTGGGATTACAGACATGTGCATGGCCGAGTTTTACTATTTATGCTCATGTAAAAATTTTCTTCTCTTGCCAGCCCTCTTCTGTTTGGCTCCTTGAGTCTTTGAACAATGTCGTCCAATATGATAGCAACTAGTCACATGTAGTGATTCAAATTTAAATTAATTAAGATTAAATAAAATTCAAAATCTAGTTATTTAATCACACATGCCAAATAACTATAGACAGCGTTTTATATAGAATTTATCCATCATCACAAAAAGTTGTGTAGGACATTGCTTTTCTAGAGATACTTGGGAAATATGGGTAAAATTATAATGGAAATGTTTAAAATAAAAAACACTGGGTTGGAGAATAGCAGCTGTTCTCAAAGTGTGATCTGTGGATCCATGGCATCAGCATTACCAGGAAGGAGACCTGATAGAATTGCAGATTCTCAAGTCCCATCTCAGACGACTGAAACAGAAACCCTGGCTGGTGGGGCCCAGCAGTTCATGTTTTAACAAACTTTTTGGGTGACTCTGATTTATTGCTGTAGAATATTAATAGTAAAAGAACAAAATTCAGAGCAGCAAACGTTTATGTTATGTCTTTGCAGAACAGATATAATTAGCTATCGTGATTTTTAGAAAGAAGGGATGAATGTTACTAATGAAGCTTATACGAAGCTTATACAGATGGCGGGCAAGGTCCTTCTAGCTTTTAAAAGTATAGTTACTAATAGTACTCCACTCTGTAGATGTTGCAAACCCTTTTGCTTCAGGGGCTCAGTATTTAATACATGTGGATCAAGCAGAGTGGATATTAGCCACATGCCTTGTTTGAGTGGTGGGGAAGGAACTGAAAAGCAAGGACCATCTCAAGAGGCAGCCTCTTTTCAGTTTCTGCTGCTTTGTTACTATGTAGAAACAAACCCTATATGGCCAGATCCATAGATTTGTTTTTTCCAAGAGAAACCAGAAACTTTGATTTTTTAAATGTGATATCTCCAAATTTTAGAACATTGACATCTAATTCAAGACTTTGAAAATATTGTATGGGCTGAATGAAATCTGTTTGGCCCATATGCAGCCAGGGCACTGCCAGTTTATATCTCTTGTCTCTACTATCGTATGCCACAAGAATTCCCAGTCTTTTCCTGACGAAGAGCTGTTTTTGATTTACTTGAACCAAATGAATTACTAATTTTAGAGGCTCTGTATATGAGACATCAATAATGGAAATATTTATCTTTTATCTGTTTGAGCCTTAGATTGCTTAGACTGTCAGGATGTCAGTAGACATGGTGTTCTTCGGTAGTACTGCGCTCTAAACACTCTCCATGTCTGACATCCTCAGGAGGCCCTCTTTCCCACTACTGGATCTGTCCTTCTTTCTCACAGTCTTCGACTGGCTTGCCCTTATTGTGATGTCCCTAGGTGTCCCAGGGATGGTCAGTGGGAGGAACTTTGGAAAGTTTACCTGTACCTGACAAGTCTTGAGGATCGACCAGGAAGTGGCTGTGGTTTTATGATTTACTCTTCTGGTTAGAGGGAAGATAGATTTGGTAATTAGTGAGCCTTTTGATATACTTTTAGAGGAAGAAAGTATGAATTAGTAGGAGCAGAATATCCTGGTTTTTAACAGGAAAACCATCTTCTTGTAACAGGTATATAATTGGAAAGAAAAGAGAAGGGCAATTGCTTTATGGAATATAGAAGGAACCCAGCTTGGCAGAACTTCATTGAATTTCACTTTATTGACCAGCAGGGGGCACTCAAAGACCCTAAATAAAGGGCTGGTATTTTTCCTTCTTTTGTTTCATTCTATGCAAACATTCTGTTTCTGCTTAAACTTTCACCAACTAATTTTAGCATTCATCAAGGTTCATCAGATCTTGCCTGTGGCAATGATTTTGGTGGCATTCTAATTGTGACTTTTAATGTCTCTCATTCTTTCAACTTTTATTAGTTGGAATTCTGCAAAGAAGAGTTGTCCCTTCTTCATTTTAAGTATTTATATCAGTGTAGACTCATGATAATTTCATTCTTTGGGTTATAATCCAATCCAATTCCATCATTATATTATTTTCTTTTATTTTTGCTCAAATTGTTCCAGTTTTGGCAGTTGGGAACGCTTTCATTTTGGCTTCTTTATGCCTTTTTGTCACCCTGTGTGCTCTCATCCTTTTGTTTGTTTTGAGCACTTCCTTACTTTCTGGCACCACAAGGTATTTGAGGCTTGTGTTGTATTTTCTTTGCTTTAGCCTTAGAAGGGGTTTATAGTATTTGTACTTTTATTTCACTTATGAATTCTATATTTTGAAGTTTTTCCCCCTATGAAATTGTATTTATGTATTAGCTAATTAATATTCTTACCAGGTAAAATTATTGTTAAGATTCATATTTAGATTGCTTGAGATTGCCAGTGCTACTGCTACTTGTGGTCATAATTCTAGTCAAAAGCAAGGGAAAGCAGTTTGTAATTCTAGTTGACTACCTTATTAAGGGCAAGCATCTGGTTTATGTCAGGTTTTCCTAGTGCCAGAATTACTGCTGAGTTTTTATTAGTACCTGTAATGTGGTCCCCAGATTATAACAGCTAAGTGGCTCGGAAACCTTGACAGATTCTAACCTCAGCAACAACTTGAGGTTATATTTTTGGGGGGAACTTACTGAGAGTTTAGGATAAGACTCGATCTAATAGCAACAGTATAGATAAGAACAATGAAATTTTACATTTGTGTGTATCTTTGTAGCTGTGGTAGGTTGAATACTAAGATGACTTCCAGTGATCTATGCTCTTACATAATCTCCTTCCCCTTAAGTGTGGGAGGGACGTGTAAATATGATGGTGTATCATTCCTGTGATTTGATTATGTTATATGACAAAGTTGACTTTAAGAGAGTGACATTATCCTAGGTAGACCTGACCTTAGATCCGATAAAGCCTTAACAGGGGCCATGTTCTTCCTGAAGAAAGAAGGATTCCATGTGAGGGAGATTATTTGTTGCTGGTTTTAAAGATGAAGGGGGCCACATGGCTAGGAATATAGGCAACTTCTAGGAGCTGGAGGGCATCCCTTGGCTGATAACCATCAAGGAAATGGGTCTTACAACCACAAGTAACTGAGTTCTGCCAGTAACTTCAATGAACTTTGTTTGTTTTTTCGTTTGTTTTTGAGATAGAGTCTCGCTCTGTCACCTAGGCTGGAGTGCAGTGGTGCAATCCTGGCTCACTGCAAATCTCCACCTCCTGTGTTCAAGCGATTCTTGTGCCTCAGCCTCCCAAGTACATGGGATTACAGGTGTGTGTTACCACACCCAGCTAATTTTTCTATTTTGAGTAGAGATGGGGTTTCACTATGTTGGCCAGGCTGGTCTCGAACTCCTGAGCTCAAGCAATCTGCCGGCCTCGGCCTCCCAAAGTGCTGGGATTACAGGCGTGAGCCACGCGCCTGGCCTTGAATGACCTTTTTGAAGGCTCTTCTCAGAGAACACAGCCCTGATAACATCCTGATTTCAGCCTGTGAGACTGAGGAGAGAACACAGTTATGCTATGTCTCAAACTCCTGACCTGCAGATCTGCGGGTTAGTAAATGTCCTTTGTTTTTAAGCCACTAAGTTTGTGGTGATGTGTTACACAGCAATAGAAAACTTATAACTACCATCTAGACCAAGTTATTGAACATTTAGAACATACAGGATATTTCCAGGACTCTAGCATGCGCTTTACTATTCACACTATTACAGTATTGAATTTTCACAGTAACCCTTCAAAATTACTAGTAGTTGACCCATTTTATGGATGATGTAACCAGAGTCCAGAGATTTCACTTATTGTGTCATCATTTTGATTCCTTCTCTGTTAGGCTAGACTTTGAGGGTATAGTTAGGGAATAAGATGAAAGTTTAAATGATTTCTGAAGTCTCAGAGTTGGAGATGTGGAGTCAGACTTAGACTAGGTCCTGTGACTCTTCATCTAGCATTTTCCCTACTGCCCCTTAGCCATGTTTAGGAGGTATGGCCAATGATGTCTTGATGCTTTGGTTTGCCTGCAGTAGTTACTGTTTTTTTTTTTTTTTTGAGAAGGTGTCTCGCTCTGTCACCCAGGCTGGAGTGCAGTAGTGTGATCTCAGCTTATTAAAACCTCTGCCTCCTGGGTTCAAGCAATTCTCCTGCCTCAGCTTCCCAAGTAGCTACGATAACAGGCACAATGCCACCATGCCTGGCTAATTTTTGTATTTTTAGTAAAGATGTCGTTTTGCATGTTGGCCAGGTTGGTCTGGAGCTCTTGACCTCAAGTGATCCGCCTGCCTTGGCCTCCCAAAGTGTTGGGGATTACAGGTATGAACCACTGTGCCCAGTCTACAGTAGTGAAATGTATCAACCTTCTAGTATACAGATCATGAAGTGAATGATAGTATTTCATGTTATGCAGTAAAAATGAAACTAGGCATTTTATGGATGAGACCTCATCTGATATTGATTTCTAAAAAATGGCATAAATGTTATAACAAATGGGACAAAGCTATTTTATTTTTTAAAAATTTAACTATCTGGATGCAGATGTCAAAGGGACAAAGCTATTTTAAAGACAACTACTTTCCAATTGCTGGAAAAAAGAATTTGATATAGAATGTCTTTAATTTAGTTAACCTGGAAATCAAAGGGCCCATGTTCTGCATATAAAAATCATTTGAGGGAAGGAAGCCTCCTCAATATATCAGTGAAATGTATTTGTCTTTGTAAATGGTACCACATCTACCACTACCTGCCTCTATACTCACTGAGAAACTTTGTCAAGTCACTCTGTGACTTGCTTTCTTCATCTTTAAAAGATATTTGGACGGCCAGGCGCGGTGGCTCACGCCTGTAATCCTAGCATTTTGGGAGGCTGAGGCGGGTGGATCACGAGGTCAGGAGATCGAGACCATCCTGACTAACATGGTGAAACCCCATCTCTACTAAAAATACAAAAAATTAGCTGGGCGTGGTGGCGGGTGCCTGTAGTCCCAGCTACTTGGGAGGCTGAGGCAGGAGAATGGCGTGAACCCAGGAGGCAGAACTTGCAGTGAGCTGAGATCATGCCACTGCACTCCAGCCTGGGCGACAGAGCAAGACTCCATCTCAAAAAAAAGAAAAAAAAAAGAAAAAAGATATTTGGACTAGCTACTCTCTGAGGTCCCATTCGACAGTCTATGAATTTATAGAATTTCTATCTATATAACATTCTTAGCTTTCCTCTATAAAATGCAGAGGTTTTAGGGTACTAAAATATATAGGACAGAAAAGTAAATTTCCAGGGTTTCATAGGGGGAATTCAAGGTGTAAACTCAAACTCAAGCCATTACAATTTCTATGTAGCTGGGCCCTTCTCATATTCCCAGCCCTTGGCAGAGTGTTTCTAACCAGTTCAATACACACTGTCCCCATTCCTCATCCTGCCTCATCCTATCCCTCCCTACTGACCTTATCCCAAGCTTCCTATGCTCATGGCAATCTCTGGTGCAGGGAATTGGTTGATCCCATTTCTTCTGTCTTGTCTTTTTTCCCCCCTTATAAACTGTGTACTCCCCATTGCCCTGCCTTTTACTGTTCTTAATTCTGCAGACAATTCCATACCATAAAATAAAGGGACAGGTTTGCTGCACGTGCTCACCCCGCGGCCCTCCCCCGCTCCACCTCAATTCACGTTGTGTTCCTTTTGTCCAGCTCTTTCTGGATTATTTAGGGAAATTTATCTCTCTGCCTTTTTCTCCTTTGCTTTGTTCCATCTTTGGCCCTCACTGTGGCTGATGGATTACACGGATGACACCCTGTTGGGGAAAAGGCAAACCATGGGCTTTAAAGAGAAGCCAAGACATTTTAGAGATACAGGGATGTTACTTTCAAATAATAAAAAATATCCCTTCTGGTTTTGCCCAAATCTTCATATCTGCTTTTACAACCACCTCTGTTTAAACTTTTTCCTTCACCAGCAATTTTCAGGATAACCAGGAAGTTGAATAATAGCTCATTTTTATTTTTTTGTTTTCATTATTTTTATTCCATGTGAATAGTAAATTAGGGGTTATATCATCTATTTAAGAGACTTTCATATCTCAGCTATCTTACATGAAATGCATTCTGAGTTCCAAGAAACACCGTTTAAACAGCCAGACTGCTTAAAAATCATATTAAAATTGTCAGGAAATGTTTTTGTCCCAACTGACCATTAGGGGGCAACATAGGTATGTACAGTTCATTTAAAAAATAGGATTTTTCTCATGTAACATGCAGCATGTTTAAAGAATTAATGTCAGATTTAGTCATTGATTTGCTTTCCTTGACTTAGCTCTGGTAGTAAATATAATTAACATTTGAATGGAAATGGTAATTGTTTCCTGTGTGACGTATACTTTCTTTTATAACGCATATTTGACACAGAATAACGGGGTCTGCTGAATTAACAGTGGTAAAAAATGGTAACATCAAAATTACTTTTAATTCTCATTCTAGTACATGTTTTCTGTGGGCCCTAGGTGTCGTCTCTGGAGCTCTCTAGCTATGCCACTCGATGTACTGATATAATGAGGGAGCTTTGCACAAGGTGCAGTAACATAGTAAAGCTACACTTGATAACGTGTTGAGAAATTATTTCTGAACAAGCCAAGGAAATATTTACCCTACTCCCCACCCCCCAGTTTTTCTTTGATAATCGCGTTTGCCAAATAAAGCTTTTTTTTTTTTTTTTTTTTTGAGACGGAGTCTCCCTCTGTCGCCCAGGCTGGAGTGCAGTGGCGCGGTCTAGGCCCACTGCAAGCTCCGCCTCCCGGGTTCACACCATTCTCCTGCCTCAGCCTCCCAAGCTGCTGGGACTACAGGCGCCTGCCACCACACCTGGCTAATTTTTTATATTTTTGGTAGAGACAGGGTTTCACCATGTTAGCCAGGATGGTCTCAATCTCCTGACCTCGTGATCCACCCGCCTCGGCCTCCCAAAGTGGCCAAATAAAGCTTTTTAAAATCAGCATTCAGTTTCCTTCTCTACTTGGGCTCTGAACCTGCAAAGAATTAGCAGATGCCGAAGCAAAAAGATTAGATATGCACTCTGTCAAATAGAGCATCTTCTTTGGAGGGATAAAAACCAAAATAATTTGGAGTAACACAGATAATGTCAAGTCAAATAAGCTAAAAGTAGTTACAAATAGGGGACTCACTTAAATTTCTAAGTTATGTAAGCATTTAGATTCCAAATTGTGGCTTAATAGGTGACTATAGAATGACTAGATTATGATAAAGGTTGTGTATGAAAATGATGTAAACTGGTGGTTTCTTAAAGATTGCAGAGTAAACTTGCAAGAAATATTAGCCATTACAATCTGTTTTGAAGCATATAACGTTTATCGTTTCCACAGTGGCATTTTCTACAGGAGGTGTTAGGGCAGAAGGATGTTGACTCTCCCTCTGAAAGGTGTCCTTTTGCTTGTGTTATCATGTGTAGCTAGGTTACAACCAGGAGTACACATTGGTGATGTATTTTTAGCATTGTTCATTATGTATAAAGACTTTCTGAACCTTTTGTATTATGGAGAATAATCCGTTAGATTGTCTGCCATTAGTTTGTTCTCCATATTAAGTGATTTTTTTTGGAATTAAAATTAAAATTTGAAGGTAGGATTCATGGATTGTAATTTTGCTTTTAATGGGATGAAAACAGTGAGTGAATACTACTCCATATGTGTAAAATATTAGTCTAAGTTGTTACTTGCCTTGCAGGCATGTGGGTGAGAAACTGTTCTGTTCTGGGAGAATGCTGGATAAATGCTTATGTCCACACATTTTCTTGGGTTTTGTCTTCCTTTATATTTGGCTTTGATAAAAACATATGTAATCAGACTGGGCATGGTGGCTCACGCCTGTAATCCTAGCACTTTGGGAGGTCGAGGCAGGCAGATCACTTGAGATCAGGAGTTCGAGATCAGCCTGGGCAACATGGTAAAACCCTGTCTTTACTAAAAGTGCAAAAATTGGCTGGGCGCGGTGGCTCACGCCTGTAATCCCAGCACTTTGGGAGGCCGAGGCGGGTGGATCACGAGGTCAAGAGAATTCAATACTATCCTGGCCAACATGGTGAAACCCTGTCTCTACTAAAAATACAAAAATTAGCTGGGTGCACGCCTGTAGTCCCAGCTACTCGGAAGGGTGAGGCAGGAGAATTGCTTGAACCCGGAGGGTGGAGGTTGCAGTGAGCTGAGATTGCGCCACTGCACTCCAGCCTGGCGACAGAGTGAGACTCTGTCTAAAAAAAAAAAAAAAAAAGCAGAAGTTAGCCAGGTATAGTAGTGTGTGCCTGTAATCCCAGCTACTTGGGAGGCTGAGGCAGGAGAATCGCTTGAATCCAGGAGGTAGAGGTTGCAGTGAGCCAAGATTGTGCCACTGCACTCCAGCCTGGGCAAAAAGAGTGAGACTCCATCTCAAAAAAAAATGTAAGTAGAGGGAATGCTGAAAGTCCCTCCTTTCCTTTCTGTCCACCAACATGCTCATGCCCATTTCAGATCTTCCCATTTTTGTACAAAGGAAAAACTTTTTTTTTTTTTTAAATTTTACTTTAAGTTCTGGGATACATGTGCAGAATGTGCAGATTTGTTACATAGGTATACATGTGGTTTGCTGCACCTGTCAACCCATCATCTAGGGTTTAAGCCTTGTATTTGTCCTAATGCTCTCCCTCCCCTTGCCCCCCACCCCCCGACAGGCCCCAGTGTGTGATGTTCCCCTCCTTGTGTCCATGTGTTCTTGTTGTTCAACTCCTGCTTATGAGTGAGAATATGCGTTGTTTGGTTTTCTGTTCCTGTGTTAGTTTGCTGAGAATGATGACTTCCAGCTTCATCCATGTCCCTGCAAAGGACATGAACTCATTCTTTTTTTATGGCTGTAGAAAACCTTTTTTTACTGAGGAGAAAAGTCTGGGATTTGAGATCTGACAGCAGGAAATGTTTCCCACATGCCATCAGGCTAACAAATACATGGGCATAATTGTTTCTTGGGACATTTTTTCATCTATTGTTGGACGAGAATATTAAAATATTTGTTTTTCATTTTTCTTTACAGAAACTACCAATCTAGAACTATCTCAAAGCTCAGGAACTTTTCCTTCTGGGTATTATTATAAAGACCAGTGGAGGCCCAGAAAGTTTAAGATGCGTCAGTTTAATGACCCTGACAACATTACAGAGTGCTTACAAAGAAAAGTGGTGCATTTATTTGGTGACTCAACCATCAGGCAATGGTTTGAATACCTTACAACATTTGTTCCAGGTTGGTACTTTGCCTTTTATTTCATAACCCTTTCCCACATCGGCTTTGAAATCAGCAGGCTCACTCAGGTGCCTGAAGAAAGGTTATCAGGTGAGGAAACATTTATTTCTGTGTAGGACTAAAGAGGTACTCGTACCCTGGAGAGATGTGTGACAGCTTCTCATCAATAGCTGTGTTGTGTTGTACTCATGGAAGCACTGGGTTCTCATTGAGGTTTATGGCACTGATGAGCTGTATGACTTTGGACAAGTTACTTACTTTTTAGGGCTTCATTTCTCCATGTGTGAGATGAGACAGCTGGACCATGTCACTTCACAGGTGTCTTTCACTTCTAATATTCTGGGTTGTAAATAGAGGTGGGCATTTCCAGTTGTTTCTCCCCTAGTTCTGTCTCATCCAGCTCCAAGTTTATAGTAGCTTTAAGTAAAAGGAAGCAGCCAGACCTATGGTGGTCCATATTGCATCCTTGCAGCAAAGCCATCCCTGTGTCATCCATTGGGCCTACCATTGGTGTGACTCTGAAATGGAGTTGGCTCCTCCTAAGGGAGTCTGGGTAAGTTCCAGCATTGTTAACTTCTTGATTTCTCTGCTTGGCTCTGGGGCTATTCTCCACACTCAGAACAAACCCCAGTGGTTGGAGGCCCACCCCTTCTTCACAAGGGCATTCTTCTCTTTCTGGAAGGGGTGTGGATGAGGTAAGGAAGGAGGGATCCTGAAGGAGCAGAAATAAAGACCCTGCTTACAATTTAGAGAGCTGATAAATGGTTTTGTGGGAACTGTTTTTAATGGCTGTGTGTGGGCAAGGCTTTTAATAAAGTAAAGCCTGATGGTTTGTTGTGAGTTGTTTGTGTTTCTTTTTATCAGCTCTTTTATTTATTAGGTCAACTTAGTTTTATTGATTGATTGATTGAGGTCTCCCTCTCTCACTCAGACTGGAGTGCAATGGTGTGATTGTGGCTCACTGCAGCCTCAACCTCCTGGGCTCAAGTGATCCTCCCACCTCAGCCTCCCAAGCGTTTGGGACCACAGGTGTGAGCCACTGCACTCGACTAATTTTTTGTATTTTTTGTAGAGACGAGGTCTCACTGAGTTGCTCAGGCTAGTCTCGAATTCTCATGCTCAAGCAGTCTGCCTGCCTCCACCTCCCGAAGTCCTGGTGGCTCACACCTGGCCTCAACTTAGTTTTAAATTTAATTTTTAGAAGGAAAGGAGGAAGTAGATATTGTCCCCAACAGTGTAAAGGCAATTCCACTTTTTGTTTTGCTTTTTTAAAAAATTGAAACAGATATAACTAAGCTTTGTTTGATAAAGTATAAGTTATACATTAGGAGAAGGGAAATACTTTGTATGGCGTGATGCTGGACAAGGTTTGATGTGATGCTGACCAGCGGGGGCCTTTCTAGGTGTCTGTAGTTGCTTCTTAAATTCTAATGATGTAGCTTGGTATTTCCTTTGATAGCAAGGATCACACTGACTATTTTGATCACTTCCCACCATATACTTTACAGACATATCTTCACCTGATAAAAATAAAGCCTTGTGTCAGTACTTGATCTTAATCAAAAGAAAGTGGTAGCTTGAGCTTTTTGTTCAGTTAAAATGGGGCTGAATGCTAAGTAGTAGTTAGGTAGGAAAATCTAGAAGAGAAGCCTGGAAATGCAAGGAGAAAAAAGTGAAACCTACTTAAACCCTTAAGAAGAATATATGACAATTTTATATATATATGTGTGTGTGTGTGTGTGTGTGTGTGTATATATATATATTTTTTTTTTGAGACGGGGTCTCACTCTCGCCCAGGCTGGAGTGCAGTGGTGTGATCTCTACTCACTAAAACCTCTGCCTCCCAGGTTCGTGTGATTCTCCTGCCTCAGCCTCCCAAGTAGCTGAGATTACAGGCACTCGCCACCACGGCTGGCTAATTTTTGTATTTTTAGTGGAGACGGGGTTTCACCATGTTGGCCAGGCTAGTCTCAAACTCCTGACCTCAAGTGATCTGCCTGCCTTGACCTCCCAAAGTACTGGGATTACAAGCATGAGCCACCTTGTCCATCCTGTAGGACAATTCTATTCTGATGTTACTTCTTCAAAATTGGCCGTGAACTTCCTGAGGGCAAGGACTATAGCTTATCCATCTGAGCATTGCTGGCTTGTAGCACCTATAGCAGTGGGCACTAAGTAGGTGCTTAGGAAATATCAGTTGAATTGGATTGTCAACATTTACTTAAGGCACTTAAGGGAATATTTAGGGATATGAGACACATCTTCTTTCCTCATGGATGCACATACTAAGTGATGAATTATACAGAGTTTTTTGGGAATAACAAGGAGTCCCACTGATTCCTGGGACCTTCAGAATGTCTCCAGGCAACTGGACCTTGAAATACAACTTAGAGGGAGAAAAGCGATGCTATCTGTGTTATTCTTGTGATAGAGATGGAAGTTTTTCAATAGGACATTAACATGATTTTTCATCTACAGGATAAAATTGAAAGTCAAAAGAAACAGGGTTGCTTCTTTCTTTGGCTTATTGCATAAAGAGGTGTTTGTTTTCACTTTTCAGAATTACATTTGAACTTGCTTTAATTTTATTTTTAAAAACATTCTTTTTTAATCAGCAAATAGGTATATTTATGGGGTACAATGTGATATATATATATACTGGAATTATTATATCAAGTAAATTAACATATCCATCACCTCACATACTTACTTTTTTATAGTGAGAACATTTAAAATCTCTTAGCAGTTTTGAAATATACGGTACATTATTATTTATTATGGTTACCATGTTGTGCAATAGATCTCTAAAACATTTTCCTTCTGAGACCTTGATTAACATTTCCCCATTGCACCTACCCCACTAACAGCCTCTGGTAACCACTGTTCTACTCTCTACTTCAACTTTTTTACGTCCACGTATAAGTCAGTATAAGGCAAATACTGCATGAAGTTCCACATCAAAGACATCTGTGTGTGGCTTATTTCACTTAGCATAGTGTCCTCTAGTTTCATCCGTGTTGTTACAAATGACAGAATTTCCCAAAAGAAGTATTTGGTTACTAATATGTGCTCATAAAACAGAAGTTAAAGCCCTTGTCTTGAAAGAAATAGTATTTATCTGTTAGGAGAATAAAATGTAAGTGCCAAGTTGATTTTTATAAATTAAATGATCATAAATAGTCACTTCTCAAAAGAAGACATACGTACAGCCAACAAACATATGAAGAAAAAGCTCAATATCACTGATCATGAGAGAAATGCAAATCAAAACCACAATGAAATTGTGGTTCTCACACCAATCAGAATGGCTATTATTAAAAAGCCAAAAAATAACAGATCCTGGTGAGGTTGCAGAGCAAAGGTAACACTTTCACACTGTTGGTGGAAGTGTAAATTAGTTCGACCGTTGTGGAAAGCAGTATGGCGATTCCTTAAAGAGCTAAAAGTAGAACTACCATTCGACCCAGCAATCCCATTACCGGGTATATACCCAGGGGAATATAAATCATTCTGCCATAAAGACACATGCAAGCAAATGTTCATTGCAGCACTGTTCACAGTAACAAAGACATGGAATCAACCTAAATGCCCATCAATGACAGACTGGATAAAGAAAATGTGGTACATATATACTGTGGAATACTATGCAGCAATAAAAACAAGATCATGTCTTTTGTGGGAGCATGGATGGAGCTGGAGGCTATTATCTTTATCAAACTAACACAGGAACAGAAAACCAAATACTGCATGTTCTCATGTATAAGTGGGAGCTAAATGATAAGAACTTATGAACACAAAGAAGGAAACAACAGACACTGGGGTCTACTTGAGTCGAGGAGTTGGGAGGAAGGAGAGGAGCAGAAAAGATAACTATTGGGTACTGGGCTTAAAACCTGGGTGATGAAATAATATATGACAGATTTTCCTATGTAACAAACCTTTACATACACCCCTAAACCTAAAATAAAAGTTAACAGAAACTTTTTAGACATAGATTAAAAAAATTGCAATGATCAGTGCAAATAGCAACATTTCTTGGCCTAATAATTAGAGAAAAATGGGTTATTTTGTTTTTCAGGCATAGACAGGCGTAGTGTAGAGTCTATCACTGATGGTGTTATTTATAATGAATGTTATGTTTATGTAATAATTTCAATAATAAATGTGTTAGAATAAAGGCCCATTGATACAAAAGGGGGCAGAGTTCAGTGAAATAGGTATTCCCTTTACATTTATATTGTACCTTTTTGTTGTACTTAAAAAAAACTTGTTATTTAAAGCCACTTAATAAGGTATAATCAAAATATATGTGCTTGGTTTGAAGGTTTTTATGAACTTGAGTTTTCCTTGTTTCAGATTTAGTGGAGTTTAACTTGGGTAGTCCCAAGAATGTGGGTCCCTTCCTTGCAGTGGACCAGAAGCACAACATCCTGCTCAAATACCGCTGCCATGGTCCACCCATCCGCTTTACAACCGTCTTTAGCAGTGAGCTCCATTATGTGGCGAATGAGCTGAATGGCATTGTGGGAGGGAAGAACACAGTGGTTGCCATAGCTGTATGGTCTCACTTCAGCACCTTCCCTTTGGAAGTGTACATCCGGCGGCTCAGGAACATCCGTCGAGCAGTGGTTCGGCTCCTCGATCGAAGCCCAAAGACCGTGGTGGTCATCCGGACGGCCAACGCCCAGGAGCTGGGACCTGAGGTGAGCCTTTTCAACAGCGACTGGTACAACTTTCAGCTGGACACCATCCTTCGGAGGATGTTCTCAGGGGTTGGAGTATATCTCGTCGATGCCTGGGAGATGACCCTGGCCCATTATCTACCGCACAAGCTGCATCCAGATGAAGTTATTGTGAAGAACCAGCTGGACATGTTCTTGTCCTTTGTGTGCCCCTTGGAGACCTAGCCTGGGAGACCTAGCCTGTCTTGGAAGGAACTGGAGGAATCACATTCAATGACCTTCTCAATTGACCCGAGTTACAGAAAGTGGCCCCAGTGAGAGCTGACTGCCATTAATAGGCATAAAATTTCAAAAAGATCTGGACTTTATATGATGACTTACAAGGAGCTTAGAAAATGCAGGTTACATTTATATCTACCTATAGGATTTTATCTAATCTTGACTTAGCCATGGTAGAACTCTTAACAGCATCTACACACACTGTATTGCTCTTATAACCAAAGATGCTAATGAGTGTATTTGAATTAGCTTCTCCTGGGAGGGTTGATTACTTTGCTAAAGAGAATGAAAAATATTCTGATGGAAGGGACAAGTTTGGTTGGTAGTAGAGTGTTTGTAGCTTATCTGGTAAAGGAAATGGAGTGCATCTGCATGCATAGCACAAGTAGTCCGTCTTCTGGCGGTTAACTAGAGAAAGCTTATAGTCAGAGGCTCTTGTGAATGCAGTGAAGACTGCTGTGTCTCAGGAGTTTCTCTTGATGATCTACCTTTTCTGAATTACTTGAAAAGGCCAGTGTGCTTGGTTCGAGTTTTTTAGTGGGAATATTTACAATTTCCTGCTTTTATCTAGAAAAGATCAAAAGGGAACTATGAAAGCAGTATATATAAAATCTGTGCTTTGGAATCGACATTTGCATTTGGTGATTTTTATTTGATTCAGCTAAATTTTATGCGTTGAATACTTACTCTAGAATAACTACTTTTGGAACTGGAAGGGGGAAATCTGTAAATGGAAATTTATTTTTATGTTCTGAAATTTGAGGGTTTTAAGAATTGACTTTAGTGTAAAGAATGCTATTGTAGTATAAAGCTGTGGAAGTTTTCCCCACCAGTTTCAGGTGTTTTTTTTTTGTTGTTGTTGCTGTTGTTGTTATTTTGAACTACTTACCACAATTAGAATTTAAAATCTAATTAGAAATTAATAAGCTATTAAAATTCATGACAGTTTTTTTTTTTTTTTTTTGGGTATTTTTTGATTTGGGCATAAAAGGCACACCCATTCTCTCATGCTTGGAAGAAGCTGCTATTCCTATTGGCTAGCTAAGAAGAATGGAATTATTAATTTTATTTGACTTATTAATTTTAAATGAGTTTAGTTAATTTGGGATCATTTAGTAAGTACTCTTTTCTTTTTGAGCTATGATAGATTATAGTCTAGTTTAAGTTGCTTCTAAGTAGACAGATGAAGAAACTAGGGAGGCCTTAAAGAGAAAGACAGATGCTTGAAGTATGAACGATATGTACCCTTAGAAGAATGGGTCAAATAATTTGCATTTTTAATTTAAAATAGGAGGGCCCCAGATCTTACTTTCCTATCCTTGAGGAACACCTTCAAGTTTTTAAAGTATTTTATGGGGAAAGAAGATTTTTAATTGTTTCTGAGTCTAATGAGGCAATAAAATATATTAAAATAGTTTAATTTTAATGGTCCTTACGCTTTACGGTACCTAAGGATCACTTGTAATATCTGACAAAAATGCAGAGTTAAGAGTCATGGCAGGGTGTGACAGCTCAAGCCTGTAATCCCAGCACTTTGGGAGGCCAGGCAGGAGGACTGCTTGAGGCCAGGAGTTTGAGACCAGCCTGGGCAACATGGTAAGATCTCGTCTCTACAAAAAATAAAAAATGATCCAGGCATGGGCCGACAGTCCCAGCTACTAGGGAGGCTGAGGCAGGGTGATTGATTGAGCCCAGTAGTTCAAGGCTGCAGTGTGTTATGTTTGCGCCACTACACTCCCGCCTGGGCAATGGACAAGAGATCTTATCTCTAACAAATTTTGTTAAATAATAAAAGAATTAAGGCCAGGCATGGTGGCTCCCACCTGTAATCCCAGCAGGGATTACAGTCTTGGGCGGCTGAGGTGGGCGGGTTGCTTGAGCCCGGAAGGGGGTTGAGCCTGAGTACCGTGGTGAAACCCCATCTCTACCAAAAAATACAAAAACTAGCTGGGTGTGATGGCACCTACCTGTAGTCCCAGCTACTTAGGAGGCTGAGGTGGGAGGATCGCCTGAGCCTAGGAGGCAGAAGGTTGCAGAGGTTGCAGTGAGCCTTGATTATGCCACTGTACTCCAGTCTGGGCAACAGGGCAAGACCACCCTGTCTCTAGAAAAAAAAAAAAAAAAAGAGGGACCATGATGCCTCTGGGATTTATGGAACCAACCTTTGTGGCAACTGCTTAGTGATTCTGATGCAATGGTGGTATTCCACACTGGAAGAAACACAAGAGAAGAGGTAAGCTAGAATGAGGGAATAAACATGGCTTGTTTATTATTTCAGGGGATTTACCAATAACTGGTTTAATTCTATTCATGATCCAGTAGTATAGGTGATATTAGCTCCATTTTATAGGTGAGGAACTCAAGTTTAGATTTCAAATAAGGTATTTGAAAAAAGTCCATATCCCTTTTCAGCTAAAATTGTGAGACTTTCATAAAGAAGGGTTTGTATTTATTTGTTTGTTTTTGAGACAGAGTCTTGCTCTTTTGCCCAGGTTGGAGGGCAGTGGCATGATATGGCTCACTGCAGCCTTGACTTCCTGGGGTCAAGCGATCCTTCTACCTCAGCCTCCTGAGTAGCTGGGACTACAGGTATGTACCACCATGCCCAGCTAATTTTTGTATCTTTTTGTAGAGACTAGGTTTTGCCATGTTGTCCAGGCTGGTCTTAAACTCCTGAGCTCAGGCCATCTGCCCACCTCGGCTTCCCAAAGTGCTGGGATTACAGGTGTGAGCCACTGTGCCCAGCCGAGAGTTTTTCTTTTCATGAAAGAACTTCTAGACATTTCCTCAAGGATTTGTAAAGGAGGCTGAGCGGTAATTTTCCCAGGAGAATTTTAAAAAGAAAGAGGGCATTGCTTCTCCAGTGGTTTGGAATGCTGCCACTTGATTGTGCAAATGCTTTCTTATGATCTTGTCTAGTTTCTGTTGTTTTTTGATTTGGTGACATAGTTCTTAAAGATTTGGTGACACAGCTTCTTGAGGTATTCTCAGTCACTTTCATCTCTCTTTAAAAAAATTTTTTTAACAACTTTTAAGTTCAGGGGTACATGTGCCAGTGTGTTTCAGGTAAACTTATGTCATGGGGGTTTGTTGTACAGATGATTTCATCACCCAGGTGTTAAGCCTAGTACCCATTAGTTATTTTTCCTGATCCTCTCCCTCCTCCCACCCTCCACTCTCCAATAGACCCCAGTTTGTGTTGTTCCGCTTTATGTGACCATGTGTTCTCATCATTTAGCTCTCACTTATCAGTGAGAACAACTTTCATCCCACATCTGATTTGTCTTTCTTCACTCTGGTGTGGACATTTTGATAGAGATTCCTATACCACTTAAACATTTCCCAGAATAGTTAGATAGAATAGTTTCTTCTGAAAAGTTTATTTTAGACTAGTGCCATATGGTTGTGAATATTAGCATGGTAGCCAAATAATAGTTTGTTTTAAATATATATTTCCCAATATAAATATAAGGGACATCATAATTTTTAAAAACTATAAAATCTAGAAGAAAAATGTATGGATAAAATCCATAATTCTATCATCTGAATGCAATGAACATTAGCATTTAGGTATATTTTCTTGCAGGTTTTTTAACCATATAGTTATAGAGAATATGTAATTTGGGTCTGTGTTTTTTACATATAAATATTTTTCTATGTTAAATAGTCTTCATAAGTTAATTATAAAGATCTACTTAATAGTACTGCTACTGCAGTTTTCATTATTAGATAAGTTGGTCATTATGGTTAGACATTTAGGTTTACAATATTAAAGCAGTGGGCCGGGCATGGTGGCTCACGCCTCTAATCCCAGCACTTTGGGAGGCCGAGGCAGGTGGATCACGAGGTTAGGAGTTCAAGACCAGCCTGGCCAAGATGATGAAACCCAGTCTCTACTAAAAATACAAAAAAATTAGCCAGGCGTGGTGGCAGGTGCCTGTAATCCCAGCTACTCCGGAGGCTGAGGCAGAGAATTGCTTAAACCTGGAGGGGCGGAGGTTGCAGTGAGCCGAGATCACACCACTGCACTCCAGCCTGGGCGACAGAGCGAGACTCCGTCTAAAATAAAATAAAATAAAATAAAAAGCAGTGGTTTATATCAATTTCAGTGGTTTAAAATACGAATTTCTATTTTGGAATGACAATTTAATGTAGTGAATCTCATGTTTCAGAACTGAGATGATTGATTTGATGCTATTTGTGATAGAACCCATAATAAAGCCTTTCTATGCAAATTACATTTTATAGAATTATCCTACCAAAAGTCACCTTTCTTTAGTGAATGTAAAACTGACCTTTGGTGTTCCAGTATGATTCATTTTGCCATTCTGAATAACTATCATTTTAATTAAGACCACTTAACTGACACTTCCTGGATTCAATTATTAAGTTTCATATTGAAAGTTGATCCAGTTTAATAACTGAATCCAGTTTCACATTTATCAATCTGAAAACTTAGTTTGCAGATTGGTAAATCAGGGTACTTGACAAGAATAAATATGGTAAGCCTTTACATATTCATGTGTTACATGCCAGAAATGAGTCTGTTTCTGGACCCTGTTCAGGGAAATAGTGATCACTGAGAGAGGTACAGGGAAATAAACACCCAAGGGAAATGACAGAAATAAGCCTCCCCAACTTTCTAAAAAACTGCTCAGCATTATCTCTGTGGGTTCTGGGTAAATTCAGCTTTTTAACCTCAGCTAGTCTAATGCCAGAAATTCCACTTTAAGTGTATTTATTTTCTTGTGTTAAACATTATTCTACCTGGTTTATGTCTACAATGTAGTATTAGTGTACTTAGGATTCTGGACACCTCAGTGTGCAAATAAATAAAATTTTGAAGTTGTTTTTCTTTTGAAGGTGAGACCACAGCCCCTTGAGTGCTAAGGGGACCTGGGAATCCTAGGGGAGTGGAGGTGGTGGAAGATAAGAGGATGATTAAGGCCAGCAGTTTAAAGGACACAGAAGCTAGGAGAGCACTGTACTCCACCACCTTCAGTCTAACTTGTCTCTTAAAAGTGCTTTCATATTTTAACTTTTTAAAAAAGTGTGGTCTAGGCGCGGTGGCCCATGCCTGTAATCCCAGCACTTTGGGAGGCCGAGGTGGGTGGATCACCTGACGTCAAGAGTTCAAGATCAACCTGACCAACATGGTGAAACCCCGTCTCTACTAAGAATACAAAATTAGCCGGGCATGGTGGCGCATGCCTGTCATCCCAGCTACTCAGGAGGCTGAGGCAGGAGAATTGCTTGAACCTGGGAGGTGGAGGTTGCAATGAGCCGAGATCATGCCATTGCACCCTAGCCTGGGCAACAAGAGTGAAACTGTCCAATAAATAAATAAATATATAAATAAATAAAAAAATAAATGTGAACTTAAATATATTTATATGTGTGTACATATATTTTCTTTTTTAATATTCTGGTTAAATGAGAGGCTATTGGTCCTCTTTTAGTTTTAAGAGTCTAATGATGTGTACATCTAATGCGCATTCCAACTGGATTGTAACACTGCTTGGGGAAGATAACTTAAAAAAAAGTAGTACCGAGATTACAGCAGCTGGTGTCCTAAATGGAAAAGAAGTGAAACTAAATGTCATAGGAGAAACCCTTTCAGTGCTGTGCAGTGGTTCATTTGCTGTTAAATCTACCCCATTACCATTCCCCTTACCCCTTGAAAATAAAGTGATCTTCATGTTACAGGACCATTGCTTTATTTATGCCACAGATTCCTTGTCCTTTAATTAGTCAATGAAGGCACATGATAGTGATACTACTTTTTGATTGCCATATTGTAAAAGCTGTATTGTAAAAGGTAACTCCCTCCACCCGCCCACTGCACCCCCACGGTTAGGGGCCACACAGAAAAAGTGAAATAAGATGAAGTGAATCTGATGAGAGGCAACTCTAACGCCCATCAGGAGATTCACTAGAACATTTTAAAAAGACATCTTTAAGGAAAAAGTTTTGTTTGAAGATGTTGCCTCTGATTCCTCCCTGCGGCTCCAGTCCAGGTCTTGGAGCCGGCCCTCGAGGGGAATGTCCGGGACTCGGGTCGGTACCTTTTTGGCCTGGGAATTTCCAGTATGCAGAAAAAAATCCACAAACCTAGTCCTCGCTACCCCCTCCCTGCCTCCTCTGGCCGTCCTCAGTGCCCACGCAACCCAGTTCGAACGAGAGGATGACCGTATTCTGTATTTTAGAAAACAGGCTCTTAGCTTCCCCCGCCCCCGTCCTCACTCGAGTGGTGAACTGAAAGCGAACGCTATAAAGGGCGCCAGTGCGAGGGGCGAGCTTCCTCTTGCCACGAGGTCAGATGGCGAGTTCTTAGAGAAAAAGGCTGTTAGCTGCTGCTTATCATGTAACCTCAAAAGGAAACCGATCGTCTTTCTCATGCTGTCACGTACTTGGGTTATTATCGCTGATTAGAGCTGGAAACAATTGATTTCCTCTTACGTATTTGTTTGACTTGACTCTTCAAACACAAAGGTATATTTTAATTATTTGATGTTTTACTAAAATATCTTAAATGCTAAGATTTTTTTTTTTTCTTTTTCTTTCCTATTCCCATAGTCAGATTCTTAACTTTGGAGTCACTCTCTTGTGTTTGAGTAGCCATACTTGCTTTGGGGCAAAATATTGGGGGATAGTTTTTTTGGAGAAAGAACATCAGGGATGTTTTTGTAGTTTAGTAATAGCAAGAATCATGTCTGTTTGCTTTAAAGGCCCAGGAAGGACTAAGATACTAATGGAGGAGATCGATAGAATGGGTGATGAATTATCATAAATCTAATGTAACACTTTATCTTCTGTCAGTGACCTAGAACTATGATATCCCAAGGCAGAAGCCTCCCAGGAGAGTTGATGTGTGGGTTTAGAGGTGTACTTTCCCACCAAGCATAGACATGAAACTATATCTTTATGGGAAAATATATCAGAGTAAATTGAAGTACTTTATAGCATGCCCTCATTCATTCTTACATTACTTCTGTAAAATTAAAATGTATGAATAGCCATTTTATGAATGAGGAAAACCTGAAATTTGATGATTTGACTGGACCCCCAGATTCATGATCATCTGTATATGTTAAGGGGTTTGTTTGAATAAAAGCACATTTCTAAATAGAATGGATTAGAGATTCTTTTCACTGGGATTAGTGAATTTGCTGTAGTGGCTGAAGGTGCTGTCCAAAGAGGATGACAGTTGTAAATTTTAAGCATTTGGTAATATATATTCCCTCTATTTAAATCTGACATCTAAAGAAATATTTGACTGGGTGGAATATTTTTTTGCTTCTGTTAGACAGTGGGTTGTTTAAACAATAAAAGGAGAGAAAAGTTTCCAAGTCTCATTCACCACCCCACATAATCCCAGATGGAGCAGGGCATCAGCCACACAGATCATCTAAACATGCAGATAACCCTGCAATCTTTTTATTTGGCTTCAAAATACAATGTGTAGTCCACCATCCCTCCCCACCGTCTTTCTAACATCATCCTGCTGAGGTCAAAGACACAGTTGGGGAGGGTACAGGCGTGGAGCACTGCGGTGGCAGAAGAGTGAGTCTGAGAGGAGTTAGCACATGACATCAGTGCACAGCGCAGATGACGGGAAACGCTTGGCAGCATCCTTTCCAGTGTGGAGGTGATGACCGAGGTCAGCATAATCCAGCTGTTCAGATACAGACTTTTCCTCACTGAGGAAAAGGAAGCAAACCCTTCTCTTTTCTTGCCTTGAAACAGACCCTGCTCTCAGAGAGCAAAAGAAACCCTTTCAGAAGCTACAAAGCCATGGAAAGCATTACTGAGGGGAAAGATTTTCTAATTGTTCTGAGACCAACAATGAATTGCTTCTGAAAACACCATTTTCTTTTGACTCATAGCTGACACTGAACTGGAGGCCTCTTGATTTTTTCTCCCAGGTTAACAGGAAGATCTCGAGGGCCCTGGCTGAACTTCACCTTTTGGCTTTCTTGGCCTGATGCTGAACTCCCGAGGGTGAGAAGGGCTGATATTTCTAAACGAGTAGCATCCAGGTGTTACCTAGCCCCTGGCTGATGTCAAAGAGGGTGGTGGGATTTTTCTAAGATTCTTTTATTAAATTAGCCGATTTTTTGAAGTTGCTGCAAAATTACTCTGAATTTTACTTATAGGCATTTTGCTGTGATTTCATGAGAACTAAGTTTTTTTTGTGTGTATGTGCGTGTGGCTTAGTAGTATTTTTTTAAACCAATTTGTTGAATTTCCGCTATTTTCCATAGCAGGAGGACATATGAATACATCTAAGAGGGGAAATCAGCTCTCTGATTACTGACAGTTTCAGGGTTAAGTAATCTTTAACAGGCTTGGAGAGCATCATGCCCCCTCATAGTTTTGGTGAAGAGGCTCCTTAAAGCTAGCATTTGTGGTTTCTGATTAAAGCACTTTCTGTTCCTTTAATTTGGGATTGTCTGTGAAGTAAAATACCTTCCTTTCGAACATAGTGAATGAAAATATTTACTGCCACTGATGGAGTTAGTGGATTGGGAATGAACACTTATTAAACACTTGTTTTGGGAGCTTACCAGCAAGATCTCATTTAGCCCTACAGCATTTTAGGTAGCTGTAATTAGCTTTATTTATTTATTTTCATAACTTCAACTTTTATTTTAGATTCAGGAGGTGCACGTGTAGGTTTGTTACCTGGGTATATTGCGTGATGTTGAGGTTTGGGGTACAACTGATCCCATCACCCAGGCCCTGATCATAGTGATTTTTCAACCCTTGCTTGCCTCCCTCCCTCCCTCCCGCCTCTGGCAGTCCTCAGTGTCTTTGTTGCCATCTTTATGTCCTTGAGTATCCAATGTTTAGCTCCCACTTATAAGTGAGAACATGTGGTATTTGGTTTTCTGTTCCTGTGTTAATTCACTTGGGATAATGGCCTCCAGCTGCATCCATGTTGCTGTGAAGGACATGATTCTATTCTTTTTTTATGGCTGTGTAGATTTCCACAGTGTATATGTACCACATTTCCTTTATCTAGTCCACTGTTGATGGGCATCTAGGTTGATTCCATGTCTTTGCTATTGTGAATAAGTGCTGCAATGTACATACAGGTGCATGTGTCTTTTTGATAGACTTCACCACGACAAATGGTGAATTCTTTCATGGTTATATTAAACAATAATCACAATGCTACGTTCTGTATACATGATACCAAATATCTGAATTAAACTTATCAAAATACTGTTAATTACCTAGATGTTATATCTATAAAATGCCAACCTCCAGATATTTGGAGACATTAAAAATGATTTTTTCACTGTTTGTTCAGATATTTAGCAACATGCAGGCACTTTTAATATTGGTAGAAGACTTTTGGATACATTTTAGCATTGAGTAGTTTATATGCATCCCCAGTCCTCTGATTGTTTCAGTCAAGTTTGCTAGACAGCCTACTACTGTGAATCTGTAGAGGGTCTGATACTATAAATCATGCATTCTCAGAGAGGGTGATATTATCTCCAAGAGGGTAAAAATCGGTTCTTCAGGGAAAAATCTTAGCTATTACAATGGTTTGTGACCCTGAAAGGGAGCATAGTACATAATAGATATACAGTATATCTGTGGTGTTAAACTTTCATCAGGGGATGATTAGGAAAAAGATGTCTAAAAAGACTCCGTAGTGGGTCTAATACTGAAAGAAAGGTTGAGACATGCCGTTGTAAATGCTGTGCATGTACTTATTCAACTGAGGTCAAAAGATTTTTCTGTGGTTTGTTGTCTTTTGTGTCTTGCTTTGTGTCTACATCCTCATTTTTCATGGATTTTAAAAGTACTGGTTTCCAGAGGAGGAACAACATTTTTAGTTTCTTTTCTTTTCTCTTTTCTCCTCCTCCTCCTCCTTTTTCTCCTTCTCCTTCTTCTCCTTCTCCTCCTCTTCTTTTTCCTCTCTCTCCTTTCTTTTTCTTTTTCTTTTTTGATACAGAATCTCCCTCTGTCACCCATGGTTGGAGTGCAGTAGCCCCATCTCGGCTCACTGCAAACTCCACCTCCCGGGTTCAAGTGATTCTCATGCCTCAACCTCCTGAGTAGCTGGGACTACAGGCACATGCCACCACGCCCCACTAATTTTTGTATTTTTAGTAGAGATGGAGTTTCACCATGTTTGCCAGGCTGGTCTTGAACTCCTGACCTCAAGTGATCCACCTGCCTCAGCCACACAAAGATTTGCTTTTTTTTTTGAGACAGAGTTTTGCTCTGTCACACAGGCTAGAGTGCAGTGGTATGATCATAGCTCACTGTGTGCTCTACCTTCTGGGCTCAAGTGATCCTCCTGCCTCAGCCTCATCAGTAGCTGGGACTACTACAGGTGCATGCCACCATGCCAAGCTTCTTTGTTCTTTTTTCTTTTTTATTGTAGAAATGGGGTCTTGTTATGTTACCAAGAATGGTCTCAAACTCCTGGCCTCAAGGGATCTTCCCACCTTGGACTCCCAAAGTGCTGGGATACAGGTGTGAGCCCTCATGCCTGGCTTTATATTTCTTTATTTCAGGAAAGTTTTATTCTATTATATCCTTAAATGCTTTAAATATATTTTTAAAAATTGTGATAAAAGATACATAAGTTGCCATCTTATCCATTTTTAAGTGTACAGTTCAGTGTCACTAAGTACTTTTCATATTACAACTGTTACCGCCAGCCATTTGCAGAACTTTTTCATCTTCCCAAACTGAAACTTCATATCCATTAAACAATAATTCTGCGTTCCTCCCTCCCCCAAGTCCCTGGCAACCACCCTTCTACTTTTTGTCTCTATGAATTTGATGACTTTTGATGACTCTACATACCTTATATAAGTGGAATCATATAATACCTATCTTTTTATGACTGGTTTATTTCATGTAGCGTAATATTTTCAAGGTTCATTCATGTCGTATAAATGTCAGAATGTCCTTCCTTTTTAAGGCTGTATACTATTCCAGCGTGTGTGTAAGTGTGCCTACCACACTTGGTTTATCCATTCATCTGTCCATGGACACTTGGATTGTTTCTATCTTTTGACTATTGTGAACAATGCTGTTGTGAACATGGGTGTACAAGTATCTGTTTGAATCCTTGCTTTCATTACTTTTGGGGATATATCAAGTCATTCTATGTTTCATTGTTTTGGGAACTGCCATACTATTCTACACAGTGGCTGCACCATGATGAATTTCTTTTTAATTCATTTTGTGTAGTATTTGGCAGAGTGCAGTGAATAAGTGCATACACCGTGAGTATGTGACAGAAAATGACACGAAGTTCTGAGTACATCTGCTGAATGATTCAGCACCACTATTAAAACAACATCTCCTATTTATTCACCCTTGCATGGCCACATACTACAGTGCACACACTTACGAAGATGTGCGTGGTTTGGAATAACTCCTATGAGAATCATTGAGGCAATGCACTTAGATTCCATGTGGGTCAGATCTTTTTGGAAATTTGGACTACTGGCAGTAGAGTTCAACATCTTAAACCCAGGGAGGCTTGCTGGAGGTTTAAAAGGGCCAGAGCTACAAAGATGATCCACAGATGTGGGGATTAGGTCTTGTGAATGAAGATGAACTGAGGACAATTTGAAGATAGGAATTGTGTGAGTTCTGATTGTTGCCCTTCTCCTCCCCTTCCACACCCATTCCCTTACCTCTGCAGCATAGCACAGGGTGACTTCATAAATTTTGGTTGAACAAATAACCCAGGATGGAAAAAAATGAAAGGATGATTTATTTTTTAATTATAACAATTGTGAAAAGTTGTTCTGAGGGCCATAAGAACTTTCTATGTTGTGTCTCTGCTATGGGGAAAGGAGGTGCGTTTAATTTGAGGTGGAAGGTAAGAGTTTGAAGAAACTGAAAGTGATCACTGGGCAAGGCTGCCAAATTTACCCTTGGAATTTCTAGTATCATGAGAGACGAACAGTCTGAAAGATGGCAGAGGCTGATATATCATGGACCTTCCCAACCCTGCTTTTCTGTGGTAAGGTTTCATATCTTGTAAACAGCCAATGAAAACAGTTGTGTGTGTTTACCTCTAGTATTGAACAGTATCCAGCATTTAGATAAGAAAGGGATTGTTAAATCCAACACTAATGTCAAAATCTAGGGCAGAGTGACAGATTGCAGCCAAATTGTAGCAGGCAGGAGGTGAACTGGGTAGTGATAATAATGTTAAAGGACATGCTTTCTCCACCCCATACCTCACTTAGGTTTGTCGGCTCCCCAAACTTCGTGGTTGTTCATTTTTGGGAGCCTCTTTTAAAATGCAAATAACCTTTAAGAAGGGTTACTGTTGATACCTTGGTGTGAATTAATTTTTAGATTATTTCTTGCAATTTTACTGGATGAGAAGGGCACAGAGACTTCCCCATCACATCAGCTGCCCACTGTTTGCAGGCAGCATCAAGGCCCTGAAGGGTTCCAGACTTGACCCTGTGGTCCTCCTCTTCTCCTATGTTCTCTTTCAAGTTGGGTCGATGGTCCAAAGAGGCCAAAATGCTTAACAATGAAGTATTAATTAGAACTTTGAAAATTGAATAATAATTATAACTACCATCACTGAGTGTATATTATATGCCAGGAGTGCTAGGCATCTCGTGACACTACCACATCTACTTACTGGCTGAATTCAGTTAATATACCCATTTTATGGATGAGAAAACAGTCTTAGAGAAGTTAATTAAAGTTGGATGGTTATTAAGTGAATGGAGCTTGGATTTGAACCCAGGTTTGTTTGACTTCAGAACCCCATGCTTTTAATCAAGGGGAGAATAATATTACAGGCAAGAATTCTAGCTTGGGTAAAAATTTGAGGGCAAGAATTAGTGTGCTATTTTAGAAGATACTCATAAGGACTGCATGTTGAAGAATAGAGATAGAAGTATGATGGGATAATGTTTTAGTTGGCTAGGGCTGCCATAATACAATACCACAGGCTGGGTGGCTTAAACAACAGAAATCTGTTTCTCACTGTT